GGCGGGGGCCGGTGGGCGCTGCGGGCTGTGGGTTTGTTCTCCGAGGCCTCCTGGGGGGGGACGGGGAGCGGCCGGGCTGCTCCGTGGTGGGACGTTGTTTGCTGTCACCCCTCTCTGCGCTTGGGGAGGGTCGCTGAGAAGGCCCGCTCCCACCGCTGCTGCACAGCTGCCCAGGCTTCAGGGTCCACTGGGGGAGATGCCTGTGCTGGTGGGCCTCAGGATTGAGGCTTTGCCCTACAGAGCAGGGGAACAGCCCAGCAGGAGCCCGTGGGTCGTGATGTCGCCTCCAGGTCCACGCCAAGGACACCTGGAAAATATCTTTGGAAGTCCTTGCTGTTTGAGGTGGAGGCGGGAGGCTGGGAGCTGGCTGGTGCTTCGGCACTGGGCGGGAGAGCCCGCGGTGCGACCGGCACCAGGCTGGCTGTCCGTGTCAGGCTCGCTCAGCTCCCCCGCGCCAAGCGAGGCCTTCAGAGCAAAGCAGACACAGGCGGCTCTGGCACGCACGCACACGCACAGCTCGCAGCGCTGGAGCGAGGAAACCGTGCCCAGCGCAGAGCAACGGCTCTGCAAAGCCTCCGTCTGCTGCCCGAATTATCTGCTAAGCTCTCGACATCCATTCTTCCAGGGAAGCCCCTGCCTCTTAGCTCAGGGCTGGGTTTGTCTCTCTCTAGTGGTTTTTTCCTCTCCAGTGTTCTTTTTTCTACCCTGACCAAATTGAAAAAAAACCAGGCAAGAGTCAACTTTGGACTTACTTTTTAGGTGAGTTTAGTTTTAAAGTAGAAACTGAAATTAACTGGAGCCCTGCTTACCACCCGCAACGAGAACCTGAGCTTTGGGACATGTCAAAGGTCAGACAGCTTACGATTTCCTTGGAACAACGAATTTTCTGGCTGGGAGAGGGAGACGGCAGCGTGGCGCGCGCCCCGGCGGTACGGCACCACACACGCACAGACTCACGCCGAGGGGACGGTACCTCCGGAGGTACCGTCCCCTCGGCGTGAGTCTGTGCGTGTGTGGTGCCGTACCGCCGGGGCGCGCGCCACGCTGCCGTCTCCCTCTCCCAGCCAGAAAATTCGTTGTTCCAAGGAAATCGTAAGCTGTCTGACCTTTGACATGTCCCAAAGCTCAGGTTCTCGTTGCGGGTGGTAAGCAGGGCTCCAGTTAATTTCAGTTTCTACTTTAAAACTAAACTCACCTAAAAAGTAAGTCCAAAGTTGACTCTTGCCTGGTTTTTTTTCAATTTGGTCAGGGTAGAAAAAAGAACACTGGAGAGGAAAAAACCACTAGAGAGAGACAAACCCAGCCCTGAGCTAAGAGGCAGGGGCTTCCCTGGAAGAATGGATGTCGAGAGCTTAGCAGATAATTCGGGCAGCAGACGGAGGCTTTGCAGAGCCGTTGCTCTGCGCTGGGCACGGTTTCCTCGCTCCAGCGCTGCGAGCTGTGCGTGTGCGTGCGTGCC